TACGCTTCCTGTATCGCTACTTTACGTTTGCCGAGATCCGACACTTCTATCGGTCAGTGCTGAACGTGGACGACGCAATGATTCACAACCTAACGTGGTACGAGGTGCAGAAGCGGCTGTGCGATGTGCAGTCAGTATGCCAGCTGTGCATTCAGAAATCTCGCCTGACCAGCCTGGACATCTACCAGCGTATCCTGCGTCGTAAGAACTACTTCGTCGCCATGTTCAACAAGCAGCTGTTGCCGCCAAGACTGCGGGTGCCGTTGCTTGGCACAGTGGTGTTCATGACCAATGGTCTGAAGGCAAACCTCGAGCTGTTGTTCTTTCACGAACTGTTCTCGCCATGGGACAACTACTGGCAGCTGAAGCGCGACTACAAGATGCGCGAAAGGCGCGACCTCCTCGCTCGCCGGGTCAGCCGCTCCATGCTCTACCTTGGCATAGCCAATTTCCTACTGGCACCTTTGATCTTCGCCTGGCAGATCTTGTACAGCATCTTTTCGTACGTCGAGCTACTTAAGCGACAACCAAGTGCCCTCGGCATCAGGCGCTGGTCGATCTATGGTCGCTACTACTTCCGGCACTTCAATGAGCTCGACCACGAGCTGGACAGTCGCCTCAGTCGCGCCTACAAGCCTGCCTCCCTATACATGCAGATGTTCTTTTCGAGTACGCTCGAGATCATCGCCAACAACGTGGCGTTCGTGTCGGGGGCCATCTTCTCGGTGCTTCTGGTGTTGAGCGTCTATGACGAGAGCGTGTTGCACGTCGAGCATGTGTTGACGATTCTGACCGTGTCCGGTTTCGTTGTTGTCTGCTGTCACATGTTTATCCAAGAGGAGAACGTCGTGTTTTGTCCGGAATTGATGATGAAGGCGGTAGTCGCCTACACTCACTATATGCCGGACCGATGGCATGGCCGGGCGCATACAAACGCCGTTAGGAACGAGTTCTCGCAGTTCTATCAGTATAAGGCGACGTTTATTCTCGAAGAGCTGCTCAGCCCACTTCTGAACCCGTTCATCCTCATTTTCTGGCTGCGACCTCTGGCGGCCGACTTCGTCGACTTCTTCCGACAGTTTACCGTGGAGGTACCCAGCCTAGGTGACG